ATTTATATAATACCAACAGTTTGTGCATCACTTTACTTTACAAAGGAGGACAGCACAGTTTCAATAAAATTCAATAAAAGTTTAGAAGGATCCTGCTTAAGAGGGCTTACAATCTAATAGGAAGGGTCAAGTGGTACAGGAGGTAATAATTGAGAGGGATGAGCTGATCAAAAAAGTAAAAGAACCATTCATTATTTGGAAACAGGATAGGCCTCCCAGAAGAGATGAATTTTCAGGGATGGCCTAAAGGCGGACAGAGTAGAAGATAGTTGGACAAACTGGGGAAGGAAGAGGCTCAGGAAAGGTCCTGGAGGCAAGCATTGGAGGAGGTGACGAGGGAACCAGAGAATAGGAGGTCTACAGATCAGACAAGACTGGGGCAGATTTGTGAATGCCTTTGTATGTTGTTGCTAGTATTTTGCTAATGGCAATTAAAGGCGAGTGATGCTGCTCATTATGGGTGGACATTAGTAATTGGCCCTGAGTTTCAAACTTGCTCAGTTGGTTGTTCTCCACCTGCCTAAGAATAATTGACTGGTGGTCATGCATGAGGCTATATATACAGTCATGGCCAAAAATATTGGCGCCCCTGCATTTTTGTCAGATAATGCAACACTTTTCCCAGAAAATTGTTGCAATTACAAATGTTTGAGCGTTATCATGTTTATTTCTTTAGTATTGGTATGACACAGAAAAGTGGAGAAACAAAAAGCCAAATCTGACACATTCTGAAAATTGTAAGAAATAATTGCTTTCCAAGTTTGTGATGCTCCTGTAATTTATAATTAAACGCAACTGTATGAATTAACAGGTGATGACAATATAGAAATCACACTGGAAACCAGTTAAAATGGTGAAAATTTGACTTAACCTTTCTGTTGTGTGTTTCTGTGTGCCACATGGAGCATGGAGAAGAGAAAGAGCAGTAAAGAATTGTTTGAGGATTTGAACACAAATTGTGGAAAAGCATGGAAAAGCAAGGTTACAAGTCCATCTCCAGAGGTCTTAATGTTCCTGTGTCCACTGTGACATTGTCAAGAAGTTTACAGCCCATGGCACTGTAGCTAATCTACCTAGATGTGGACGAAGAAGGGAAATTGCAAAAAGATTGCAACAAAGGATTGTTCGAATGGTGGCTAAAGAACCTCGATCAACTTCCAGACAAATTCCAGCTGACCTTCAGGCACAGGGTACAACTGTTAGCTCACACTTTATGTTGGCATCGGAATGAAAAGGGATGCTATAGTAGGAGACCCAGGAGGTCCCCACTGCTGAAACAGAAACTTAAAAAAGCCAGATTGGAGTTTGCCAAAACTTACCTGAGAGCCAGAATCCTTTTGGGAGAATGTGCTGTGGACAGAGAAAACAAAATCACTGCTTTTTGGTAAAGTCCATGATTCTACTGGTTTCAGAAAAAGCAATGAGGCCTTTAAAGAAAAAAATACAGTCCCTACAGTCAAACATAGCGGAGGTTCACTGATGTTTTAGGGATGCTTTGCTGCTTCAGGCACTGAATAAGACATTCAGTGCATGGCATTATGAAATCTGAAGACTACCAAAGAATTCTGGGGTGCAATGTAGGGCCCAGTGTCAGAAAGCTGGGTTTCCATCAGAGGTAATGGGTCTTATAGCAGGACAATGACTCAAAGCACATGTCAAAAAGCACCCAGAAATGGTATACGACAAAGCACTGGAGAGTACTGAACTGACCAGCAATGAGTCCAGATCTCATTCCCTTAGAGCATCTGTGGACAGATCTCAAAACAGCAGTTGGGAAAAGGAACCCTTCCAATCTAAGAGACCTGGAGCAGTTGGCAAAAAAAGAGTGGTCCAAAATTACAGTAGAGAGTTGTAAGAAACTCATTGATGGTTACAGGAAGTGATTGATTTAAGTTATTTTTTACAATTTTGTCCAGTCCACTTTTGGAGTTTTGCATGGAATTTTGTTAGATTTGGCTTTTTGTTTCTCCACTTGTTTGTGTCATACCAATACAAACAAAAGAAATAAACATGAGAATGCCTAAACATTTGTGAGCGAAGTGGTGCATTATCTAACAGAGATGCAGAGGTGCCAATATTTTTGACCTTCATCCAAGCCAGCCAAACAAAGGTAGCTTGGTCAATTGTCATTTCATGTGTCTGATGGAAACTGCGTTGAAGATACAGCAAGCCTTCAGAGATATCCAAGCCATTAACCGCTTAGGGACCGCCCACAGTACATTTACTGCTGCAGGGCGGCCCCTGTTTGCAGGATCACATACTGTATATATATATATACGTGATTGGTGCTCCCGTGATTTTCACGGGCCAGGGGGTGTGCACGCTCCCCTGCCGATCCGCGGCTGCTGTGATTTGATCCCCAAGGGATCAATCATCCGATTTAGGCCAGTGATGTCTGGCCCGAGTCGGATGATCGATCCCTGTCCTATCCTGTCTTGTGTTGACAGTTACACAGGTGCAGGAAGTGATTAAATATTCTCTCTCTCTGGGTACAGAGAGAGAAGAATCAACACAAAAGTTAGTAAAAGCACTACACTTACACAGTTAGAACACTCTAGGACACATGTAGCCCCCTGATCGCCCCCACGTTAACCCCTTCACTGCCCTGTCACCAGTGTTATTAACCACTTGAGCTCCTGAGGATTTACCCCCTTAATGACCAGGCCTTTTTTTGCTACTAGGCGCTGCACTAATTGAAATTATAATTGCGCGGTCATGCAATGCTGTACCCAAACAAAATTTATGCCTTTTTTTCACACAAATAGAGCTTTCTTTTGGTGGTATTTTATCACCTGTGCGCTTTTATTTTTTGCGCTATAAACAAAAAAAAATCACGAAAATTTTGAAAAAAAACAATATTTTCTACTTTCAGCTATAAAAAATATATCGTAAACTCAAAGTTAGTCATAAATTTAAGCCAAAATAGATTCTGCTACATGTTTTTGGTAAAAAAAAATCCCAATAAGTGTATATTGATTGCTTTGTGTGAAAGTTATAGTGTCTACAAACTATGGTATAGATACTGTAATTTATGCCTTTTTTTGCTATACAGCGCTGCACTAATTCAAATGATAATTGCGTGGTCATGCAATGCTGTACCCAAACGAAATGTACGTCCTTTTTTTCACACAAATAGAGCTTTCTTTTGGTGGTATTTTATCACCTGTGCGCTTTTTATTTTTTGTGCTATAAACAAAAAAAACACAAAAAGTTTGAAAAAAAACAATATTTTCTACTTTCAGCTATAAAAAAATATATCGTAAACTCAAATTTCGTCATAAATTTAAGCCAAAATGTATTCTGCTACATGTTTTTGGTAAAAAAAAATCCCAGTAAGTGTATATTGATTGCTTTGTGTGAAAGTTATAGCGTCTACAAACTATGGTATAGATAATTTGAAATTTACACAGCTTTTACTTTCTGACCGCCCATCACATCTCTTGAGGTGCTAAAATACCAGGATAGAACAAATACCCCCAAATGACCCCTTTTCGGAAAGTAGACACCCTAAGCTATCTGCTGAGAGACATATTCAGTAAGATTCACTATTAGGCAGTGGCTAAAAAGCAAACGCCCATGGCAGACGTCTAAAATGTGTTCAGCACATGCTCAGTTATATCTGCCAAAGACACTGCACGGGCGTCTAGATTTTTACTGTGTCGATTTCCTTGAAAAAAACGATTTTTAACACATTCTTAATTTTTTTGGAAATAGCAGATATTGTTTAAAGTGAAGTCCTGATATTTGGCAAAGCAAATTTCTAAGTGAACATGTCTCTGCAGTTATTTTTCATGGTGTTAGACGTGCTTCTTAGCAAGTCTGCTTTGTGAGTCTGATTCCGGACGTGTGTCTTTTTGTGAATTAGATTGGGCATCTGCTTATGGGCGCTGGTCAATAGTGAATTTGGTTGCAGGGTAAAAAATAGACGGTCGCCCATGAAAATTGGGCGTTCGCCCACGAATATGCGCCCACGCCCAATAGTGAATCATAGCCCTAGAGTCTGATAGAACCCAGATTTCTCAAAAAAGAATATATGACAATGTCCATTCAAGTTATAGGGGATATTTGCATTCCCAGTGAAAGCATTAAAAGTGATCAAAAGAAAAAAAAATGAAAGGGCCAGTGTAAAAATAATTTAAAAAATCAAAATAACTTAATAAAAAATAAAAAAAAGCACCCTTGCCCCATTGTGCGTGAACGTTTACCCTGTGCCGGTATGTAAACAGCGGTTGAACCAAGCATGTGAGGAATCCCCGCGAATGTCATATCAAGGGCAGTAATTCTAGCACTAGACCTCCTCTGTAAATTTAAAATGGTAGCTTGTAAAGGCTTTTAAAGTGTTGCCTATGGATATTAAAAATGTAGGCAGTTTTGTCGCATGCGCAGTTTTATTTTCAATAATTTTTATTGAAGTTTTCAAGTGTACAAAAATATAACCCTCTGTAACTACAGAGGAGAAATATAGAAAATAAAGTAAATATATAGGAAAGAAAAGAAAGATTAGCCTCACAGGGCATACACATGACCATACATCAATAGATGAGAATAGAATAAACTATCCAACAGTATAACAAAGTTGTGATTCAACCATTAAGGCTGGATCCGGGTGTATCCGTGACTCTATCCTATTGCCCACTTGGCCACAACCTCTCCAACACAAAGGAGAATCTCCCGATGTATAATGAGCTATACGGTATGGAGTGAGGTACCATCTAGATATTGTTTTTTGTGTGAATTCCCAGTAGTTAGCACAGTGAGATATAGCATAGGAATATTTGAATGCGTGTGACCATTGTGTCTGAGTATATGAGCTTTGTAGATCTATCTCCCATGCCCGGATAGGGCCGGTTTTATGGAAAGATAACTTATTTTGGAAAAGGGAGTAAAAAAAGGTAATTCCTTTCGTAGATTTAAGTGGGTTGTTATAAAATTGCCTAATTCTGGTGTCTAATTGTAAGAGAGGGGGAGGCGATTTCAATAGAAAATGGTGAATACTTAACAACTTAACCTCCCTGGAGGTATTCCCGAGTGTAGCTCGGGGTAAAGTTTCAGCACCACAAGCGGTAACCCCAAGCTACACTCAGGAATACCTTGCAGCGTTGCTCCGGGATCTCTTCTTCACTTACCTTGTCCTGCGCTCCCGCGATGTCCCTCCTGTAGTGTCCCAGGCATCTGTCTTCTGGGTTCCGTTCCGTGCGACGTCAGGACGTATGGGGACGGAACAGCGGGAAATTTATAAATGTGAAAACATGACATTCACTAAATACACTAAAATCACATAGTAAAACATTACTGTATCAAAGCATTTCACATACATTTTGTCCCTAGTGCTTTGTCCTGTGCCCTGCCTGCATTTTTACCGTTCTTTCTGCCTGGAAACTGAGAAATGTCCATGGCGTCCAAAAAGCGTCCCTTTAGGTCAAAAGTGGTTTTAGAAAAGCTAGAGAACAGTGATAGTAAATTAGAACCACTTGCAGAATTGAGTGATAATGATTCGTGGGGAAATTCGTCATCAGACACTGAAAACGATTTCGCGACTTTGTTCAGTGATGTGCATACTTGGCGCTATATTTCAAATTTCAGTGTTTTTGGTTTGATTATATTGTTGAATTGAATTTTTATTATTTATTATTATTTTTTATGATTATTTATTAAAATTATAATTTATAATTTTGTGTTTCAAATTTTAACATACCCGGGATGTTTACTAGACTCTTATTCGGACAGATTTCAGTGAGTTATTCCTAAAAATTACAGGCCTACAATAAAAAAAATACATATTTCCATGCAAAAAAATTTACTGCTTTGAGCACAGAAATACTGACATAATCAGACAGCTAGGGAGGTTAAAGAGTATTGACAATGAAAATTAGTTACTCTTTTGTAGATCCCGTAGACTTTTAAGTTTGGGCTGTTCATAAAAATTACATTATGTAGCCCATAACAAGACCAGTCAATATCCGCCAGGTACGGAAGGAGATTTAGTACATTCGCGGGTATAGATACGTCAGCAGGGGAAGAAATGGCAATCTGAGGTTTAGTAGCTAATCTCCAAGCCATTAGCGAGGCTTTAACCGTGATAGGTAGTTTATTTAAGGACTGTGGAACCCATAAAATCAGCTAGTAATAGGTTGCGGAGGTTATGAGTTGGTATGGATACTGTCTCTATATCCACCCACAAGTGTTCTGAGGGTGAGTAGAACCAATGTTTAATCTGTGTCTGTGGCTGTGTAGTAGTCTTTAATATCTACAAGCCCTATGCCTCCCACTGATTTATGTTTTATAAGTTGGGCATATGAGCATCTAGCCCGTTTCTGGTTGCATAGATATTTTTTAAACAGATTCTAGGGAAGATAGATATGAGGATTTGAGGGGAATGAGGAGAGTTCTGGAAAGATAAATAATTTGTGGTAGGTATAACATTTTGAAAGCAGCTAGTTTGCCTGTCCAGGATAGCTCAAATTTGGCTGTGCATGTAAGTTCGTTGCTTCCGCTAAAGTATCAGTGGAGGAGGTTAAGATAATATCTAGATATGGCAGTCCTCCAGAAGCCCAAGTATAGGGAAAAGAGGTTTCTAAGGCTGTTTTGGCCAATATGGAAATTCCTAGGTTTAAAATAAAAGATTTCGAAAAGTTTACCATGTAGTATGAGATGGCGCCAAATTGTGAAAGAATAGAATGAACTTGTGGTAATTTTGTAGGGTTTGTTAACACCAGGATCACATCATCGGCGAATAGACTAATCACGTGAGATTTGTAGTGGAAACGGAAGCCCGAGATGGAAGTAATTAGTTCTAATGGATTCCACCAGTGGTTCAATCATAAGATTGAAGATGAGGAGCGAATGGACATCCCTGTCTTGTGCCATTAGTGATATTGAAGGTCTTAGACAATAGATTGGAGGTGTATACTTGGGCTGAGGGAGTAGAGCACAATGCTAATACCGTGGAGAGTATTGGACCCCCCCCCCCCCCCCCCCCCCCCCACCCCCACCCCAAGAAAAAATCGTTTTTTTCGTTAAAATCTTTTTCCCTGGGTTGAAGAAAAGAAAAAAAGAAAATGTCCTTTTTGTTAAAAACAAAAACTGTTTTGGGTTTTTAAATATTTGCCAAAGAAAAACATAGAATGAAATAAAAAAAAAGAAAAAAATGATAATCAACTGTACAAAAAAAATGAAAAAAAAAATAAAATTTTTCAAAGAAAAGTTGAGTGCAAAAAAGACTTCTGAAAATAAAAAAGAAAAAAAAAAAAATAGAAATCGATTAAAAGTCCAAAAAACAAATCGGGGTTTAACAAGGTTTCCAGGTGATTTGAAGTTTAATTTCTACAAGATGCGGGTTGAAAGTTTTTTTTTTTTAAAAAAGAAATAAAACAAAAAAAAAATAAGTATACAACAGGTTAAACAGGAAACATGAAAAAAAAAAATATTTTTTTTATAAAAAAAAAAGAGTAAAAGAACAAGAAAAGCATTTAAAACTTGCGAGGAAAAGTTGTTGTTGTTTGTTTAAAGAAAATTAAAAGAAAATATTACCAAATGTTGGGAGGATAAAAAAAAAAAATGTAAAAAAAACGAAAATGTTTTGTTTTTTTTTTTACTTGAATTTTTTTTTCTTTTTTAAAAAAGAGAAAAAAAAAATTCATTCTGTGAAACAAAACAGGGGATTTTCCCGGGGGGGAAGGTTTGAGGGTTTTGGTCAGAAAAAAGTAAAAAATACAACCACAATGGTAAAACAAAAACAGAGGGTTTGGGGTTTTTCATGTGTAAAAATCCGCTGAAAAAAAATTGGTTTAAAAAGAAAAAATTATGTTTTAGGTTCCGTCTGTGGTTCATTTTTTTGTTTTTTCGCAAAAAAAAAAAAAAAAAAAGATTTTCGTGTTTAAACAAAATTAAAGCAAAATGGAAAAAAAAAACACTTTTTGTTTTTTTTTTTTTTTTTTTTTTGTTAAAAAGAAAAAGCCAAACAAAAAAAAAAAAACAAAAAAAGAAACATAGAAAAGTAATTGGAGAACAACAGAAAAATTCAAATTAAAAAAAAAGAAACAAAGTAAAAAAAAAAAGGTCAAAAAGTAAAAGTTGTTAAATAAAAGAAAAAAAAAGTTTAGAAATAAAAAGAAAAAAAGAAAAAAACAACAACAAAAGTGGTTTTTTTTTGAAGGGTGGAAAAATGGTATTTTGTTTGTTCGTTTTTTAAAAATAACACGAAACTCTCATAATAGTAAAAAAAAAAAAGAAAATTTGCATCGGCAAGTTTTTTGTTTGGGATTCATTCGAATTTCTCATTTGTTAAAGGAAGAAATGAATTAATTAAAATAAAATCTAAAAAAAAGTGTTGTAGAAAAAAAAATAAAAGTTTAAATAAAAGAAGACGAAAAAAAAAAAGAAATTAAAAGAAACCTCTGCTTTATTGATGTAAAAATAGAACAATAAAATGTTTTGTTTTTTGTTTTGTTTAGAAAGGAAATGAACAAAAAAAAAAAAAACAAAAAGAAAAAAAAAAAGAAAAATATTTTATCTCAAAAAAAAAAAGTTCCCAAAAACAGAAAAAAAAAAAAAAAAAAAAAGTTTCTGATTTTTGAAAACAAAAAGAAAGAAAAAAAAAAAAAAAGAAAAAAAAGAAAAGAAATAAAACGAACAAATCAGTGAAATAAAGGGGATGAAAAGAAGGAAAAAGTGTTGAAAAATAATGGAAAACAGAAAACAGTCAAAAAAAATTTGATCAAAAATTTTTATTTAGAAAATAAGTTAAAAAAAAACAAAGTAAAAAAGTTTTCATCAAGAGTCAAAACATAGGTAAAAAAAAAAGAAGTGAATTATTTAAAAAAAGTTTTTGCTACAAAAAAAAAAAAAAAAAGAAGATTTAAAAAGAATTACTTTTGGAATGAAAAAAATTGGACCTTGTTGGTGATGCGTAAAAAAAAGTCACAGGATAGAATCATAGAAAACAGAAAATGTAATGCCTTATGAAGAAGTTTTGTTCCAGATAAGCGTTGTTTTTTGGGTAAGAAATGTAGTCAGAACAAAAAGTAATGTTAAAGAAAAAACTCAAAACTGATTCCAAAATTGTTTAAGGAAAAATGTACAAAGCAAAAATGTTGGTTTGATGATAGTGGTCTTTGAAATTATAGCGTATGTTTACAACTGCAACAAAAAAGTATAGAAAGTAAGCTGAGGTATGAAAAATATGTTTATGGAAGAACATAGTAAAAAAAACAAAAAAGATCTGTCAAAAATCAGATAAAAAAAAAAGAAGTAAAGGAAATAAAACAAGGGGAAATGCACATGGCCAAAGAAAAAATAAATAAGAAAGAGATTAAGGTCAAATATGGAAAAAAATAAAAACGAAAAGACAATTGTGGCGCAAAGTCAGGAACCAGAAAAGACATTGGTGGAAATGTATAAAAACAGAGGAGAAATGAAAAAATCCATGCAGAATGATTCACGTGTCTTGAATTAAAAATGATCTTTGTTACTCAAAAACAAAATGTTTTGAAAAAGATCTAATTAAGATTCTGTTGGTGGATGACAAACGATTTCTTGAAAAGTAAAAAAGTCAAACAGCGAAACAATGCTGCTAGAAAAAAAGATAAGCTCGGAAAAAAAAAAATACAGTGGCCGTCTGTCATTCGCTTACAATTAGCAAGGTGGATAAACCAGAAAATCAGCAATAAAGAAAACCAAAAGGAAAAGAAAAAAAAAAAAGAACGACATTAAAAACGAACTTAGTGTGGTTCATTGAAAGATAGGAATGAAAAGCAACGCCAGGAAAATAAGACTTCTTAAGTATAAAGAATTGGTTGAGGTAAAACAGGGCACATTACCTCTTAGGTTTGAAGAGGAAATGTACTATTTGAGAGGATTACGCAACCCACTGTGAAAAATTAGCAAAGTACAAATACCGCACGTTGACAATAGAGTTGCCATAATCAATCAAGTGGAGATTTTTTTGAAGACCTTGTGAATGAACTTTAATTGTTTCGTTGTTTCAGAGGCATATATGTATAGATTTCCAACAAGTAATAAAGAAAAGGCTAAGACCTTGTTACTTGAATTTGTTCATGAAATGAAATCACACTTTAGAACCAATCAATGAAGCAAAGGCCAGACACTGGAATCTTGAGTTCAGAATATATGTTGAGTAATAATTTGAAAACTCCAAATGAGTTCCTCGAACATTAAGATCATGCTCAGACCCTCTTTTCTTAGATGTAAAAAGATAGACATAAAAATGGAAAAAAAAATGTAGGGGAACGATGAAGTCTATTATGGCCAACATTCATTGAAGGAAGGCTGCTGCATCACGTCAGAAGTGTGGTACTC